TAGAAGACATAGAAAAATATGTCTTTACTTATTGCCTCTGCTTCCTCTCTTCTCACTCACATCATATCCCTTTCAATCTAGTCTCCAGTCTTCTGATCTTTCCAAAGAAAAAGGCACCAAGTAGAGTTTTTTTTTTGTTCCCCACATATAGTACAACATTTTTCACATAATAGGAATTTAGCAAACATTTGTGGAATTGAATACGGAAAATTTGTGTTGAATGACCTCAATCTTGTCTGTGAGGTATATAATTTAAGGCAATCTGCTATTAAACTGGGAAGATTTTGGGACCTGAAAAAAGAGAAGAAAGCTCGCAGCATCCAAATTATATGTGTATATATGTATGGTATGTACGTATATGTGATGTTGCAATATATGCATACATACATTTATTCATATATATACATAGAAATATGTAAGTGTGTACATGTTTTTAAAGGCATAAAACAAAATGTATAGGATTACAAAGGAAACCAATTATATTGAAATACAGCTATCAAAATGTATTTTTTTGAAATAGGACCTCAGATTAAGAAATCCTTTTCTAGACTGTCATCTTTTTGGAGCCTGACTCTGTTATTCAATATTTTGTATTAGATATTTCTTTCAATTCCCCGTTATCTACAAACATGACAAGCTGACCTTCTATTGCTTCATCTAAGTCACTGATTAAAAAAAATATTTAAATTATCTTCAGTTGCTTTCTCTGATCATTCAAGAGTAGGAATTGAGGCAGATGGCATGAGTTTCACATAACTGGGTATTAGTAGGGCATGAACGAGGGAAGGTCAATGGAATGAGGAATTCAAGGGTGTAGAAGAGGACATTACCAGAATAGATGCCCGTAAAGTCAAGACTGGATAGGAAAGGAAGTGAGGTCGAAAAAGGTTGTTGGGAAGGTAAACTAAAAAATTGAGATTCCCAAAGGTCACGATGAGTGCAAAGAATTAATGTGGGAAGTATGAGCACGGGACAGAGGTAGAAGGCCGAAGAACTATGGGTCAAGAAGAGAATTTCAGAGTTCAACATCTTAGAGATGAAGAGGTTTCATGTGATGTGAAGTTTGAGGTGGAACTGTTGAAGTGGGTGGCTAAGTAGAATGCCAATGAGTCATAAGATTTGAGTAACTCAAGGAATTGTGGGAATAGGGTGTTGGAAAGGACCCTGGTATTGACCCGGATATTGAGGTGTAAAGTTCATACCACATAAAGGAATGAAAAAGGAAGGTGGTGGCACAGGTGCCACAGCCATGGAGAAAAATATGGCAGTGTTCTGGAAGTTGAGAGATGTAGCAACAAGGATATAAGGTGCTAGGGGTGGATGGAATGAACTTCCAAGAGGTTGTTGAATGATGGTTATGAACAAGGGTCCAAAAGTAGCAGTGAGGAGTAAGGAATGTACTAAATTCACCTCCAGGTCTGGAGAGGCTCTGATAGTTTTATAGGCCAGCTTCCAAAGCTCCTTCCTTTATTTTACCACATGTAATCTTTACAACAACCCTATAGTTTAGGCAGGGCACAGAAGATATTAGTGATTATAATCTCTGTCTGACTCCATTTGAGTAGGCAAAGAAAGAAAGCAAAACAGGAAAGGTAGAAAGGCGAATTAAAACCTTTCTTCTGATTCCTCCCAAGCAGTAAGTATACCAGCTAAAGAAAAGATAGAAGCAGATGAGAAACTACTCCCTAAACTCATTTTATACCAATTCAACCGGTATCCCAAATGCCTCAATTTATAGCAATGGACTTTCTATCTAAATTAATAACAGATGAATTATGAAGATGATGGATTCGAATAAGCTAATGGAAGTTATTTTAGTAAGATATTAAATTTTACTTCATTGTTTTCTATAAAAGTTTGTTATATGTGATATCAAAGTATTTCAAATATTGTCATTTCAAGTTCCATCATTTCAAAAACTTTTGGTGATACCTTTTATTCTTTCATTACTTTTATTTCCAAGTATGTCTTTTCTACTCAGAGAACCCTTTGCAAGGAAGACTGAAAAAAAGAAAGAAAACAAAAGAGGTTAAGCAAAACTGACCAACGGAGTCTGATAGAAATATGACATTCCACATGTACAGTCCTCCATTTAGCTTTTGTTTTATTAAAGAAAATAAATTTTAATTATTTTGATAAAAGAAAAAAGAAAGAAAATTGGAGCAGCAGGTCACTTAAACCAGTTTTAGCAGTTTAGTGGTTGAGGGGCACATCCTAAACTCCTCACTGTCCTTCATCATTCATGTCTAGTCAGTCACCAGATCAGTAGATTCTATGTCAATGACACCTCTCCCACTTGTCGCCTTCTCTCTGCTTATATAGTCACCACCCTAGTCCTGGCCTTTATCACCTTTTCCCTGTTCTTTCAAACTGACCTCCTAATTGGTCTTCTTGCCTTCAGGATCTTCCCAGTTCAAGTCATCCTCCATATAGTTATTTGACAGCAAAAGGGAGAATGGACTGGAGTAGGGAGAAACTTGAGCAGGCCGACCAACCAGGAGGCCATTGCAGTAGTCCAAATGTGCAGTGAAGAGGACCTACAATAGGGTGGTGACAGTATTATTAGAAGAGAGAAGGAGACATTTACCAAAAATGTCACGAAGGTAAAATTGACAGGACTTAGAAACAGGTTGGATATGGAGGGGTGAGGTGGTAAGAAGCCAAATAGTCACCTAAATTGTGAGCCTAAGTGCTGGGACATTGGGTGTGCTATCAATAGTAATGGGCAGCTCAGAAGGGGGAAGAGTTTGGGGGAGAAAGATACTGCCTTAAATTTTGAACTGATTGAGTTCAAGATATTTTGGGGACATTTAATTTGAGATGCCCAATAGGCAATTAGAAATGCTGAAAAAATATATCTGGAGATAAGTTGATCTGAGAATTATCAGTATGGAGATGATAATTGAGACTGTGAGAGCTAATGAGATCACCAAGTGAAAGAGTCTAGAGAGAAAAGAGAAAAGGCCCTAGGACAGAGGCATGTGGACACCCAACATTAGTGGACATGACTCAGATGAAGATACAGCAAAGGAGACTGAGAAGGAGTGGTCAGATAGGTAGAAGGATGATCAGGTTCGGCTTGTCTTGCGTGAGAAGAGTGTATGAAGGAGAAGAGAGTGATGGTGTCAAAAGCTGCAGAGAGGTCAAGAAGAATGAGGACTGAGGAAAAAGCTGCTAGATTTGGCAGTCTGGAGAGAGTCATTTCAGTTGAAGGATGAAGTTGGAAGCCAGCCTGCAAAGAGCTAAGAAGAGGAAGAGAAAAGGAAGGGGAGGCACCAGTTACAGGCAACTTTCTCAAGGAGTTTAGCCACAAAACAGAGGAAAGACATGGGGTAATATCTAGTGGGGCTGGATGGATTAAGTGAGGTTTTTTTTTTTAGGAGACATGGACATATTCATAAGACAACAAGGAAGCATCTAATAGTCAGGGAGACATTGAAGACTAAGGAAAGAATGGAGATGATAAAGGGGGCAGTCCATTGGAGAAAACAGGATGGAATAGGATCACTTGTACAGGTAGAGGGCTTTGCTGGGGTAAAGAGAAGGACTTCTTTTTCATGTGATACAGAAGTGAAGGAAGACATAGTGGCAGAAGGCACATGGGTGATGTGAGATGGGGAGGGGAGGGAAAGAAGAGTGAGCTCTTGGAAAATGGCCTTAATTTTTTAAATGAAATATGAGGTAAGATTCTCAGTTGAGGAGAGGAAGCTGTAGGAGGTTTGAGGAGGATTGAAAAAGTTTGGAAAAGCCACTTTGGTGAGTGGGATAGTGACTCAATGAAGGAGGTGTGAAAGGGTTGCTTCACTTTAGCAAGGGCCCAGTTGAGAAACAGGCATCTGACTGACAATGTCACTCCCTCTTCCCTGCTCCCCACTTACATCTAGGATAACAGATCTCAAACATTTTGGTCTCAGGGCCCTCTAACACCCTTAACAATTATTGAGGATCCCTCAAAGAGCTTTTTTTCATATGAATTGTGTTTTCAATATTTACTGCATTAGAAATTAAAACATCAGTATTATGAAAAATTTTCACCTCAAAGACCCCCTGAAAGAGTTTTTGGGACCTACAGGAGTCCCTGAACCACACTTTGAGAGCTGCTGCTCTAGGATATAATACAAGCTCCTTTGTTTGGTATTGGAAACCTTTCCCACACTGGTTCCAGACCACCTTTCCAGGTTTATCAGACATTGCCACACCTTCACATACCCCATAATTCAGTCAAACTAACCTGTTTGCAATTCCTCACTTACAACACTGGCATCTGTCTCTATCACTTTAACAAGCTGTCACACACCACCACCCCCCCCCCCCCCCCCCCCCCCCCCCGCCTGAAATAACATTCCTTCTCATCACTGCTTCTTAAAATCTTTAGTTTCCTTTAATGCTTAATTGAAGTGCTGTCTCCAGAACTTCTCTGATTCCCATTCCTTCCAGCTGCTAGGGCATCTTCTCTTCCTTATATTGGTTTGGTTCATATATTATTTTTATGCATATGTATATCCCCAGCCCTCTCCCCCCACAAAAAAAAAAAGATTGAAAGGTCCATGAGGGCAGGGATTCTTTCATTTTTGTTTGTGTATCTCCAGTACCTGGATCCCCAGTCTCTGTATCCAGCACACCTGGAGCCTAACAGTCACTTAAATGTTTTTTTGATTGATAAACTGACCAAAGCACCTTGTGGCAGGTTACTAATTTAAAGGTTAGTTCTTTGAAGGGGTAAAAACCTCAAAGTTGAATCTGCAACTTTTACAAAGCATGAGAGCAAACATCTCAGTGACCTTCTTCCTTCCATAGGCCAGAACAAAGTCTATGTTCTGTCTAGGCCCTTCCAGGTGGAGGAAACAGAAGACACGTGGAATGAACAGTCAGTGCTCGCAGTGGAATGGAGCACTCTAGAAGGGAAGCAGCCCCGAACTTATTTGGAAACAGAATTCTTTCAAGTCATACATTTAAATTTCAAGCTGCGTTCACTTTTTTCTACAGGGAAACACACCCACCTTGGTTGTCAAGTGACGATTTCCTCAATTCATCATGGCCTTGGCTATCTCAGGATTCCTACAATTTATTCCTCAGCCCAGCAGCTCCAAAGCTTATCAAAGACCATTTTCTGGTGACTATGACAGACCGGTTAGTACTCTTCCCAGGCCCCCTTCCTCCCCACCAAGTTTAGACTCCATGGAAGATGGATAGGGCCCAGCAAGGACAAGCAATCAAACCTGGGCCTACTTCTTTCCTGCACTTCTCTCCAGAGAATAGAAAGTTCTTCCTCAGGGGGGCCATCAGGCATGAGACCATGAGACCCTGAGACCATCTGTATGTACCTGTTTCTGCTCATATTGCTTCCCCTGTAGAATGTGAGCTCCCTGAGGGTGGGAATTGTATTTGAGAGGCATGGCACACAATGAGAACTTAATAAATGCTTATTTGTTGATTAACAGTCTATCCTTAGTCATAAAATAATAATAGGAATAAAAGTAGAGGAAAAGAGGAGAGAAAATGGTCCCAGACAGATCTCAGTCCTTAGTCATACAAACCATCATGCCACTTCTCTACAATGCTAACTGTATCCCTTACTCACTCCCCAGAGCTGCTGACTGTGGGCCTGTGTATAGTCCATTGCCCTAAGGGAAACTACCTCCTAAGGAGCCTGGAGTCTGTTTTCAAATCTCTCTCCAAACCTGAGCTGAGATACGTTACCGTGCTGATCCACCTGGCATCCCAATTCTGTCTGGCTCATCCAGACCATTGCCAAGATCGTGACACTCTTCACTCCACTAATAGTGATTCATGCCCCCCTCCCCTGCCACCTATCCTTCCTTGAGAGAACCCAATAACTTTAGTAACTCCTCTGATTTGAAGGCCTTCCAATCAAAGAGGACCTTGGACTACACCTGTCTCATGAGCTTCGCTGCCAATCTCTCTGACTACTTCCTCATGATGAGGATGACTGCACCTGACACTTTGTCACTTCCATCTGGAAGGATAGACCCTGGGCAGTCCTGGGGTTCTCCAGTCTTTGGTGTCAGGGGCAAACTCCATCATTCTAGGGACGTCCCCACCCTAGCCCGATTCCTCTGTCTTTTCTACCACAAGATGCCTCCTGATTTGTTCCCCTCCCATTTCCAAAAGCTGATGGGGCAAAAAGAACCCATTCCCATAAGCCCCTCCCTTTTCTAGCAGGTGGGGGGGTTTACTTTTCCTTTGATGGTTCTTACAATGACCTAATGGACCAGTTCCAAGAAAATTACTAAGGCCTTCCTCATAACCCCCAAGCATTTGTTCGTACTGACATGCAACTTCTTTCAGACCATCTCCCCCTACAAGGTAACTCAGGATTACTTCAAGATTCTGGAACCTAGGCCTAGCAACCATCTGATTGTGATTCTGACAGAGCCAGCTGAAGTGATTCCAGTGCAGGTGCTATTGGGCACAGCCCTGGAAAAGCACTTCCAGTTACAGGAAGTTACGTAGAATTGGGTTACCAACTCTCTGGAGAGCCCAAACAGAGCAGCTGATACACGATAACAGATTCACTATTTGATGGGCGTTTTGACCTGAACCTTCAGAAAACTGTGACTGGGCACAGGGTAAGCTGTGTGAGGAATGTGGTAACTGCCTTTCAGGACGAGGCCTGGCTCATCTTCAGACATATCAACATCTGGGTAGATCGTGAGGAAATGGTGGGAAAGGCTGGGGCCAGACTCTCAGGGGACAGGGAATTAAAACCTTGAAATCAGCCTCAGATGTTTATTGGGGTCCTGTCTGGGTTTCTGTATCCTGTGCTTGGGAATTACAGACTGATGAGGGACCTCTCCACTCCTGGGGAGTTACATGACAATAAAGAGATGAGCAGCTAGGTAGGCCGGTGGATAGTATGCTGGGCCTGGAGTCAGGAAGATTCAACTTTGTGAGTTCAAATCTGGCCTCAGATGCTTACTAGCTGTGTGACCCTGGACAAGTCACTCAATCCTGTTTGCCTCAATTTCCTCATCTGTAAAATGAGCTGAAGAAGGAAATGACAAGCCACTCGGGTATCTTTGCCAAGAAAACCCCAAATAGAGTAAGTCATGAAGAGTTGGACAGGACTGAACAACAACAAGAAAGACACGCTGTAGCCTTCCCTGACTTTCTTTCAGACCTCTCAACTTCTAAGCTTCCTTTCACAGGAGGTCAACGCTCTCCATACTGGCAGAAAATGAGCCTGAGAACAGCAATTTCAGTCCATTTCAGCTCTATGGGGCCCTGGAGCCAAGTTTAACTCATTAGACAGTGAGCAGTTCAAAGGCCTTTCTTTCTATCTTGAGCTCTAAGCTCAGTATCTGGCTCAGAGTAGGCACTTAATAAATACGTATAGACTGATAGACAATATCACCATACCAAAAGATACAAAGGCAAAAAGAGAAAATCCCTGCTTTTGAGGAGTTTATGTTCTAAAGGGGTGGGGGGAAAAGGATGAGAGAAAGAGCATAGATGTAGTAAGTACCACAGAGCTGTGTAACAAAGCCCAGGCAGTCCTCATGCAGCATGTAGAGAGTTAGAGCTGGAATGCCCTATTCCACATGTCAGGGAGACTAGAATTCCACCTTTGTGGGGAGCAGGAGGATGGTCATGGAGCAGTGATCACTCTCTTGTTTTCCTATCTTCAAGAAAGGTATTATTGAATATAGGAAATGGGGTACAGAAGTCTATCCTGCCCTACAGGAAAATAGAAGGGGAAGGGGATAAGAGAAGGGGAGAGAGATAGAAGAGAGGACAGAGTAGGGGAAGGGATATTCAGAATGCACGACATCTTGGGGTGGGGGAGGGGGAGATGGGGTAAAAATTTGGAACTCAAAAACTTGTGGAAGGGAATGTTGAAAACTAAAAATAAATAAATTTATATTAAAACAAAATAAATGTCTCTATACCAATGAAAAAAAAAAGAAAGGTATTATTGGGCTTTGGAAAACATCTATTAAATCACACACCAGGTATTTGTGGTAGAGGGATATTATTCTTTTGGGAGTTCAAGATAAAAGCCACTTTCCCTGGTTGTTGGGGGAGGGAGAAGGGGGACCACCCAGATCTGGAAAGTAAATTACCTCAATCTTGGACAATTCAGCTTTCTTCCTACTAAACACTTATTTTGTTATTTGTTCAGTGGCATCCACTCCTTATGACCCCTTTTGGGATTTTCTTGGCAAAGATACCCGAGTAGTTTGCCATTTCCTTCTCCAGTTCATTTTACAGATGAGGAAACTGAGGCAAACAGGGTTAAATGACTTGTCTAGTGTCCTACAGCTAGTGTCTGAAGCCAGATTTGAACTCAGGAAGATGAGTGAGTCTTAACAACCCTAGGCCCTGGCACTACTGCCCTTAAACCCTCATTTCGCACAAAAGACAATCACAGATATCAGCAAGTATTTATCAAAGTCAGCAATAAAACAATAATGGGTAAGTCCTATAAAGATTCCTTTAGGTGTTAAGACACTTAAGAATTGGGAGCTCTTTGACCTGGAAGTGTGATATAATCTCAGCTCAGCTAGGGAGAGATTGTTGGCCTTGTGATCAGAAAGATTCCAAGAGAGGTAAAACTATGACATCAGAGACTTGGGGATCAAAGGACCATAGATAGAAGAAGGCTTAGAAGGGACCTTAGAAACCAGCTAAGTCCAATCTCTTCATTTTACTGATGGGAAAACTTAAGGCACAGGAAGATTAAATGATATCGATCAACTAATAGCATTTATCAAGACCCTATTATGTGTCAGGCTTTATGTTAAATTCTGGGATTAGAAAGGCAGAAAAAAAAGGAAAAACAAAACAAAACAATCACCACCTTCTATGGGGAGATTGTCCTAAAGGTCCACAGATAGTAACAGAGCAAGAATTCCAACCCAGATATTTGGACCCCAGAGTCAGGACTCACTCCATTGTCAGGTTCTTCTAGTTGGGGATCAAAGCAAGCCTTTTAACCTATCTTAGCCTCAATAATAATAGCATCTACCTCCCAGAATTGTTGGATCAAGTGAGATGGGATTTGTAAAGTCCTTTGCAAACCTTAAAGGACTCTCTCTCTCTATATATATATATATGTATGTATATATATATATATATTTTTTTTTGGTTTTTTAGGCAATTGGGGTTAAGTGACTTGCCCAGGGTCACACAGCTAGTACGTGTCAAGTGTTTGGTCTGAAGCTGGATTTGAACTCAGGTCCTCCTGACTTCAGGACCAGTGCTGTATCCACTGCGCCACCTAGCTGCCCCCTTAAAGGACTATATAAATGCTAGCTATTACTACTATCATTATCATTATTGTTATCAAGGAAAGTTTCATGGATTGGGTGCCTTTGAATAAGGTCAAAGAAAGGATTTCAATAGTCTAAAATGTGGGGAAGGAGTCCATTCCAGGAACAAGGAATGCCATGTACAAATGCATAGAGGTAGGAGACTACAGAATGAGATGGGAGAATGGTTACTAGCCCAGTTTGGTTGAAACACAGTGTGTGGGGCAGAATTGTTTGGAATGAGGTCGTCTGTTAGAACCACATTATGAAGGACCTTGAATACCTGTAGGATAAGGAGTTTACATTTTATCCTGTTAGGCAATGAGGATCTATGGAAAGTTTTTGAGTAAAGCAACTTGGCATAGATTTGTGAATTAGTAAGATTATTTTGGCAGCAAAGTAAAGGATGAATTAGAAGAGGAAGAAATTGGAGGCAGAAAGACCAGTTGGAAGCCAATACAATATTTTAGGATAGAGCTAGTATACCTGGTAGTATAACAGGTAGGGAAGGGACTTAAGATGATATATGTAGAGCTGGAAGGGGCCATAGAGGTCATCAAGTCTAACCCTCTGATTTTACAGATGAGGAAACTGAGGCCCAGAGAAGAAAAGAGACAACCTAAATGTATATAGGCCGTAATGATAATAGCTAGCATTTATATGGTGCTTTAATGTTTGCAAAGTGCTTTATAAATAATATCTCATTCTATCCTCACAACACTCCTGGGAGGGAGGTGCTATTATGGGGGTGGTGGGGTATGGAAAGAGAATAAACATTTATTAAGTGTCTAGTACATACCAGGCACTGTGCAAGGTGCCTCATAAATATTTTCTCATTTGATCCTCACTACAACCCTGTGAGTAGCGATCATAATAATGATCCCCATTTTACAACTGAAGAAACTGATGTGGACAGTGACTAAGTGACTTGCCCAGGGTCACACAGCTAATAACTGTCTGAGGGCAGATTTGAACTCAAGTCTTCCTGACTCTGGGCCCAATGTCTTATCCACTGTACCACCTAGCTATTATATCATATATTAGCTCAAACAAGACAGTATTTATAAAGTGCTTAGCACAGTGCTTGCGCGTGGTAGGTGCTTAATAAATACTAGTTCTTTGTTACCCATTTTACAGATGAGGAATCTGAGGCAAAAAGAGGTTAAATGACTTGCCTAGGGCCCCATGGCTAGTAAGTGTCTGACACAGGATTCAAACTCAAATATTCTTGACTCTGGCATAGCATTATATCCAATAGACCATCTAGCTGCCTATTACTGTTAGATGCTAGCTATTGGGAAAAGAGGCCAGGAAAGCCAGTAAGTCAAGGCCAGCAGGGAGGGCATTCCAGGAATTTGGGTTAAGAGCGAAAAGGCACCAAGGGGAGAAGACAGAAGGTGTAATGTGGAAGAGCTAGAAAGGGAAGATACTGTCATCAGAGGGGCAAATTTATTTACTTTTATTCATTTTTGCCATTTTGCTCAGTTTCTACCATTGAACTCCTTATGGAATTAATCTTCAAGAGATTCTTTCAAATGTCAATTACTACTGTCTTACTGCTGCAAACATCCCATTTTCTCCTTTCTAATACTTGGAGAGAAAGACAGAGAGAGACAGAGAGAGAAGAGAGAGAGAGGAGAGAGACAGAGACAGAGAGAGACAGAGAGAGACAGAGAGAGACAGAGAGAGAGAGAGGAGAAAGAGACAGAGAGAGGAAGGGGAAGGGAGGGGAGGGAGGAAGAGGACAAACAGACAGAGAGAGAGATGCAGCAATAGACAGACACGACAACAAAGAGCCAGATAGAGAGGCCGAGACTTTGGAAGTAACATACATGGAGGATTCATAAAATGGTAATTAGGCAAAGTGATGCCAGACAAAATCTGGCTAATGGCTAACTACATTGTCCCCCATCTGGAAGGGCACTAGGAGTCTGGATCCAGTCTCTCTAGCTGGGTGTAACAGAAGGAGCTCTCCTGCTTCTGGATCCATTCCCCGAATATTTAGGTGCAGGCTCCTTAACCTAGGACCTCTCAAATCCCTTTGATGTTTCCCACCAGCCACACCCTTGTTGTATCCAAGGGCTCTTCCTCGCTAAGTTATTGACTCATCAGCCCTTCACTGTCTGCTCCACACACCCTTGGCCTCAGGTTCCACTATACTCCTTCAAATAGTCAGTACCAAGCTCTCTCACAAATGCATCTACAGGCCTAACTTCACCCAAGTCACCCAAGTCATCAGCAGCCCCAAAGAAACTCATTGACTCTCTTAACTGAGCCCAAGAATTTGCAAATATGCTAAAAGAAGCAGGCAGCTGCGG